ACAAGTTATGCAATAATAGGTTTATGAATTATTGTGTTCCACTAGAGTTAGTAACATTACAATAACAATAAGTTACAACAAGACTTTAGTTGGATGAGTAAATTCTTAGACAGTTTTTAAAAAATGTGTGTGTGGAGAGAAAATACATTGAAAAAATATTTGTTTATCTGTGAAGAATTTAAAGTATTTTACATTGAAAGTGATTAGGTATTACAACTGGGATTAGAGAAAAAGTCTCTCCAAGTTTAATGTGGTTCAAAGACAAATAAAGTAGAAGTTAACGTATATAACATCTCCGACATCCAAGAGATATTGGAGAATAATTATTGGTACAAAAGATACAATACATAAATAAGAAGTGTAAGTGATATGTAAGTGTAAAAATTTGATAGCGTGCTTATTGTTCTTATATATATTTTTCATTTATCAAAATAAGGAATTTTACAAGAAAAATTGTCGATGACATACACCTTATATTGACACAATATTTATTATTAAAAATTATTTTTATTTATATTATAAATATAATATATGTTATTATATTGTTAAATGTGTATGTATAAGGTATAGTGACATATAATATATGTTGTTAAATTTTATTTGAAATTAATACTAAAATTATATATAGTAGTATGACAAATAGATTTATATTTATATATTTTATATCTTTAGTGACATTTTTTGTATGTCACTATATGTAATATTTATTATCATATATACTTTTGTCTTAAAAAGTATCAAATTATATTGCTTTCAGTTATACCAACTTCTATAATTCTAATAATTTTATAAAATTTATAATTAAATCTACTTTTAGTCTCTATAGTTTTCTGAATGTGCAATTTTAGTTTTTCAATTTTTTTTTAAATTCCTCCATCTAATTTTCAAAACTAAGTAATGTTGATTCATTGTTAACATGACATTCAAACTTAAACCGAAAATACTAATAAGTGTATGAGAGTGATAATACCTATAGTTAGTTAGCAAGTAGGGAAAAAAACATTATTAAAAATTAAAAATAAAACTATCTTATAATAGATTATATTTTAAAATAAAAAAGAAACATAATATATACATAGTAAAAAGCAATGTTGTTCATTCCAGGAAAGTCAACACGACTAAATAACTATAAACTAGTGTTACTCACAAACACATCAATATTTTATATTTAATCTTGTATAAGTTAATGATGATCCAATATTATTTAATTTTGAACACTAGGAGATCAAATTTATAATAAATTTTTTTTAGGAAACTAAAATTACACATTTGTAAAATTATAATTATATATAATGGCATTTGTTTCTTTCACAAATTTTATTAAGTTAACTATAAATATATGATTAAATAGTTTTTATACGTGTGCGTATATTATAATTATATATTACATATATTACACTAATTTTAACATACATAATTGAGATATCAATTAATTTAATATTAATTTTAAATTTTATAAATACAAGAGTGTTAATAATACATTTCTCTTAATATACATTTTAATATTGATTAAAATTTATTTAAAACTATAAAAATAAAAGAAAGATTCGTAAAATATACAATGTAACTTCTAAAACATTCATCTTATTAATATGACATATATAAATAGAAATGTTTCACTAATTTTAAGAATAAGACTATTTACACTTATTTCACTTAATAACTCATATTTACATCATATCCATTAAATTAAAAGTTATTGATACATAAATTAAAAATGCAAATTTTTTAAAATTAAGAATTATTTGATATTTTATTCCATTAATTCAAATTAATAGATAATCATAAAAATATTGTATATATTGATTTGAATTAATGGAATGGAATATTAAAAAGTTTTTCAAATTTTACAGACTTAATTTATGTATTAATTTTTTTTAATTTCACCGTTAGAATTTAGATATTTAAAATTTGATGTAAAATATGAATTATTAAATCAAAAAAATTTAAGTATATTTATTTTTGGAGTAAGTGAAACTCTCAATTTTCTCTACATATAACAATTTATAATATAGCTTTGAATATATAATTATTTAATTAAAAGTTATTGAGTAACATAAAAATAAAGTATATTATAAGTTTGTTAGATACGACGGACGAATTTTTATTAACCAACTAGGTATATGTGATTACATTTACATTTAACTATTTTTAGATGGAAATATTTATATTGGTAAGTAGTTACTTATTGGGAAGGCAGACAAAGGGGAAAGTTTCACGGGAAGAAACAAAAAGAAGAAGGATAATGGGAGCTTTTCCCCATCCGTTATCGTGAAAAGTTGAAAGTTGAAACCATATAAGGACACCCACCCTTATGCTACAACTGGCAAAGGGCACCTAAACAACCCAAGGATTTTGGGGTTCACGAAATTGGGACCCAAGGAACAATATGTTACACAAGGCTTAGTTGGAGGCCATGATAAATGAATCATTGTGCTAAAGTGGCCTCCATCACTCCCTCAAATGGCTTAGGCTCCTAAAGCTCATAATGGACTTAGATCGATGCATATCTAACCTCGAAACCTCCCAAACTTTCACATGCCCACCCGACCCTTTTGTAAGACTTTCCCAAAGTAATATTTCCTTGTCCTATTGCCACTATCATATCCTCGCTTGTTGGCCTCTTTGCCTTTATAATTGATGATTAAGCACTTTGTAGTTTTCATACTTAAAAAAAAGTTCAATCAATTATATTTTGCCATCATTGTCTATACTCTATAATATATATGCTCACATGTACAATTGCTTTCCGGAGCATGCATGATTTGCCTCTCTTATATGGATTGTGATTAGCCCACATAGTTCGGAGTACTTGTTTGGTATGTGTTTTGTTTTAAATTTAAGAAAATGGAGAATAGTGTTTTTCTAAGTTACTTTTGAGTGTCCTTTTCGATGGAAAATATATATAACTAAAACCAGTTGATGTTCAATTCGAACCTAGTGAAATATTTTTAATCCTTGGAAAAGTAGTGTGAAAAGCCTCTCAATGAGACATGGATCTGGTTATAGTTTTCAAATAATAATGTATTGATGTTATGTGTTTTCTTTTTCGAATTATAACTTTTTTTGTTCATAAGAAAAAGGACACAGGCATACACGTTGTGGGATACCTATTTACATATGATGTGTATCGCCAATGAACTCTATTTCTTGTGACTAGACATGAATCCCTGAGAAGCATAGCTAGAGTGAGCCTCAATAAAATAAAGTGGCCATTCTTTTATTATTGGCGTCTTGCATTGCCGTCTTGGTCGGTGAAAATAAAATTAATGCGCTATAAAATCTTCATATTGCATCTGGTAGGTGACAAATATTCCAATTCGTTTAAATTCAACATTAAGGCTTAGCATAATATCAACTTAGGAGCATTGTTTGAGAAAAATCTTCATTCTCGTTTCATTGTTCTTAATACGAGTGTTTTTGGCAGACACACAAAGACTAACCAACTCACGTAGAGACCCACTTAATCATACTTATGTCCATGTGATCATACTTAAGTTGACATAGTCATATTTAGATTAGATAATATAGAGACCAATTTAGTCATTATTAAGTTGATTTAGTCATGTCTAAATTGATATAGTTATGTTTAGACTAAATCACATGTAGAGATGGATTTAGTCATGTTTTTATTAATTTAGTTATATTTAGATTAATATAATCATGTTTAGACCAAATTAGTCACGTTTAAACTAAGCAAATTACATGTGTCGTAATTTGTTTTGTAACAAACTATTTATGTGTACTAATAATTATTTCTTTTATATCTATCTAATAGTTATAACTTAACAAGAAATTATGTCATAAATATGATTGTTTTTTCATACTTTTTTATAATGGATTTGGATCCTCTAATTTTAAGGCAAAAAAAATTATGGTAATTTAATACATTTAGGTTGTTAGATTCTTAAAAAAAATAAATTAGATTTTGATATGAGTACAATACATTTTTTTTATCTTAATGATTTATTTTCAGACTCTTGACTTGGGTGTTGGTGTCTTTGCAAGTGACTCAAGGTCATCTTTGCATTTTCATTGTTTGGATGGTGTTTTGCCATAGATGTAACTTGAGGTCATCTTTACATCCTTTATTCAAAAATCTATGCAACTGAGTAAAGAGGATGAAAGTAAAAAATGAGAGAAAATATTGGTGTTGTTTGACAAGGTGAAATAGTGAAGAGAGGAATACAAAATTGGTAGGTCTGACCATAAAATATTTATACAATAAATAAAAGAAAAATAACAAGAAAATAAAGTTAGCTCGCGATTGAACAACTTTCTTTCCCAGAATTTAATGAAAAGGTAAATTTTAATCAATTAGCTTCTTATTTAATTGATTAAGACATTTTTTCTATTTCTTTTTATCTATTTCTATTAAATTAGATATTTTTAAAATTTATTGTATTTATTACTTATTTCTATTAACACCGTATGATTTCAGTAATGATTTTCTTCAAATAATTAAAGAATTTTGAAAATTAAATTATTTCAATAATTAATTATAATTAAAATAATAATTTTTTGAATAAATTTGCTGATAAACAATTTTAAAATGTTTATTTTTTTTTTATACAACAAAAAAATTAATTTTATGTAGTAAATTAATTTAAAAAGTAAAAAAATATAAAAAATAGTTACAAATTTCAAATTTCCAACTTCATAAAAAAAGAGAGGCTATTTTAGCTGTATAAAAAATAGCTTATTTTTCAAAAAATAAATATATTTATAAATTTAAGTTGTTATCTAAAATACACTATTTTATTTTTTTTGAACAATTTTTTTTTATTATAAAAAAATGATTACATTACAGTGAAATATTATAATTTTTCTAACATATTGTAGATCTCACTCAAGTGGTAATCAATCTCCTAGAAGGTCGAGTCCAGAGACTTTTTTTTTTTTTTTCTTCTCATTTGTAACCATTACAAATTTACAACGAGGTTTTTGTTTTATATTCTTTTACCTATTACATATTTATCCATTTCTCATACAATGAAATCCATTTTTCCTTTTGTAAGAAAAGAAACCTAACAGACGAATTCCCTTGCAAAATTAATTTCCCGCTCTTTCCCGCTTCCAAGTTTCAACTCTTTTAGTATTTCTTTATTTTTGTTTATCTGATCGGATATGCTATATTGGATTTGACAATAACCCTGAAACTTGCATTGGGATCTCAATGAACACTCGCGAAGCCACTTTAGTGGTCACGGCAACTGCCATTGGCGCCTTGGCCTCTGCAATTGGTTTCCGCTTCTTCTACCGACCCCAGATGCACGCCAAATCCTCGCAAAACGGCACCGTTTCATCTCCTCGGGACCCTTTTGACCCCTCCAAGCGCAAAGAGTAATTTTTTACCTCTCATGTTGAAAAAAAAATTACTTTTTTTTGTCTTAATTTTTTTTATTTTTTTATTTTATTTTATAGATATCTATCGTGGGATGACTATTTTATGGCAATTGCATTTTTGTCGGCTGAGAGGTCCAAAGATCCTAATAGGCAGGTAGGTCATGTTTCATTTCATTTTCCAGTTTCCTAATCGCCCCTTGCTTTTGGAATTTTTATTTAAATTGCGCTTTTGATGTTGTTAATGTTGCAGGTGGGGGCTTGTTTGGTGAGTCAAGATGGTATAATTCTTGGTAAGTTCATTAGGTTATCTTCTTCTATCTATTCACTTTCTTCTGTGAAACTCGGTTTTCTTACTTAATTTGCTTTTTCTTATGGAAGGAATTGGATATAACGGGTTTCCTAGAGGTTGTTCTGATGACAAGCTACCTTGGGCAAAGGTTGGTATTTAAGAGAATAAGATCTTATTTATTTAATTACCTTTTTGCTCTTATAAACTTTTCTTATAATTAAAATTTTTTCATTTTAATTCTTATATATATCGTTTTTTTCTTTTTAATTTCTATATTTTATAAATTTTACTTTTTTAACCTCTACAATAATAGAATTATACTATAAGTACAATAAAATTATGTAATAACTTATATAACATTATTTTTGTGTTTTCCTTTTAACATCATTAATAATATCTCTTTATAATAAATAAAGTGGTGGGGAAAAATATATACAAAAGTGATATTATATAATTTTTATTGCAAGTGCAATATTACTCAATAATAGATACAGACTAAAAGAAAAAACATAAATGGAATGTATAGTGTAGAGACTACAACAGAAGGGTAATTAAACTTTTTTTTTTATTTATTGTTTAAGCATCCTCATTTAGAAATCTTTTATGTGTTTTCAGAAATCCAAGACTGGGAATCCTTTAGAGACAAAGTACCCGTAAGTGTTTGCTTTTGTCTCGTTGAAACCTTGATCATAAGTTTGTTTTGAAGATACGAGTTCTATGTTGTTCATTAAATCTTCTGTGTGGCTTGATAGTTGATAATGTTATTGCTGAATTTATTGTATTGTTTTCGTTAAACGTGATCTTGTTGACGATTTGTTTTTGCCTGCTTTAGATATGTTTGTCATGCAGAAGTAAATGCTATTCTTAACACTAATCATGCTTCTGCTGCTGGACAAGTGAGTTCCACTGCAGTCTAGTTAACATATTATTTACGTGTCTTAATTGAAAATATTTACTTATTGTTAATTTATTTATCATTTTCCTTCTGTAACTTTCATTTGGATAACATCATTGACACACACACTGAGCATTTCATTACTCACACCGTTTAGCACATAAAAGAAATTTCTTAAAGATTCCTTCCAAGTTATGAACATTTTTTTAACCACCTAATACTAGGAATTCCACTTTACTCTTGTTGAATCCATGCAGCGGCTATACGTGACCATGTTTCCGTGCAATGAATGTGCTAAGATCATAATCCAGGTTGGTAACCGTGTTCTGTTTGATGCATAATATTTTTGATGAACTATTTTACAGGTGACACCTGCAATTTTTTTAGTAAAGCATACAACTTTTATGGGAATGGTGCTCGCTGTCTTTAACCTGTTAATGAAATATAATCAATAAATCACCTCATCTATGCTAGTTCATTATCCTGTGAGGGCTGTTATGTATGCTGATTGCTGAATCAGGTATCATTTGTCATTATACTCAACTAGTAAGAAAAAAAGGCACTACATGCCTTCAGACTTCAAGTGAATAACAAGTTTTTTTAGTTAATTAATGAGTAATTTTTATTTATTTTTTAATAATGTACAATTTTTTATGGTAGTTAATTAAAAGATAAAATTAAAAAATAAATTGTGGACACCAAAAATTGGTATTGCCATTGTTATTAGTATAGATATGACTGTAAGCTGCCTTATGAGGGGGAATGTGAATGACAACTGCTCTATACTGATAAGTTGATTTATACAAATTTGGAGGAATCTTGGCACTACCACTACTAGTACATATTGTGGGGCATCTTTATCTTGCTATTCAATCTTAATAAGAGGGCATTATATATTAATTTCTTTTTTGCAGTCAGGGGTTTCTGAAATAATTTATTTTGTGGAGAAGAGATTAAAAAATTCAGATATTGCGTATACTGCCTCTCACAAGCTACTTTCATTGGCTGGTGTAAAGGTAACAGTTTCGTAAACTTTTGTACGTAAATAAATTATCGTCACGGTTCAATTGGTTTAGGGATACCTACCGATACTGATTCAATATAATTAACTTCTGCATTCATAGTTCCTTATATTTGTGTTTAATATCTCTAGCCAATCTGTAGAAGATATCGAGTATAGCTTTGATGTGAAGAATTTCCTTGAAATGCAGGTCAGGAAACATCAACCACTGATGAATGAAATTCATCTGAAGTTTGAGGAGTGATAGATCAAAGGATATGTTAGGAAATAGTAGCTGAAAGTTAATCATTAATTTTTAAAGTTATTTAAGAGTAAGTTTCTTTAATATTTTTAATTAATTGTTAGTTATGTTTTTTATGCATTTATTTATAACTAATATTAAATACAACAATTACTTAAGATAATTAACTTAATTTATGATAGAAATAATTAAAACAACTAAATTAATTACTTTTTTTTTAGTCTTGATGATTTATGTTGTTTATAATTGGAGGTAGTATTTTATGAGTAAAATTAAGATAGAATATAAGAAACTAGAAATTAGAAATAAACATTTTAGAAAATTTATTTTAAATGTGGTTTCAATAAATATTACAAGTTACTAAAATAATTGTGTTTATTAACCTTTATTGGTAAGGTCAAACAAATGTTTTAACTAATGAAAAAAGTTAAAACTAGTTGAAAATGTTTATCGAACATATATTTAGAAACTTTGGCAGTTTGGCTTAGCTTTTTTATTTTGTAGTCATCTTTAGAGTTACCAGATGATAGCTCTATTGATTCTGAATATTGCAGAAGAGTTCATATATCTTGAATTGGTCTCGTTTTGTCTCACTAACTTATCTCGGTTTGAAGGAACTTTTAATAAATTTGAGTTTAAAAAATTAGATAGTGTATTTTAAGAATGAGTTTAAATTATAGAGTCATCTTAATATAGTTTGAATTATATATTGATAATAATGATGACAGAACACCTTGTTGCCCTTCGTTATAGCTTTGTGCACTCATACTGCAAACTATAATTAAAATAAACCCTAATCCTAAACCCTAAACTATAATTAAAAACCCATTCCATGCTATTGCTATATGCTAAACGGCCTTAACACAACGTCAAATAAGCAGATTCAAATCATTCTCCAAACCCTGTCCCCTTTCCTGTCTAATCATATTGCCTCACATCAATTAAAAAATCACATGCCAGAGTCTGAGTCTCACATTTTAACATCGTTACTGCATTACCAAACGATAACTTCTTCCTCTAAAATTGCCTCAGTAAGATATACCATATTTTACTGAGCCAAATTTTGGCCTTTTTAAGAACGTTCCCATAGAAGATATCGCGATTGCAATCCAGAACATTAGAGAAGGAAAGGTGCAGAGATTTATTCATGCTTCAGTAAGAAATAAATTCCAAATAGCCAAGTTAACGCAGAGATCTATCGGTAAAATTCGTAAAATAGTTGCATCTTTGTATTGTTTAACTAGATGTCTATTTTCATTCCGTGTTATCATTGAATAAAAAATCAAACGCTTTATCAATATATATGGCTATTGGTTTTATATAACTATAAGTATGATGAATGAGCCACTCCTGTGCTTCAATAAATGTAAGAACTAATATATACTCAAACTAACAAACATTTATGAGCCCGGTTGTTTCAATTAAAAAAGAAAAATAAATTTTTATATTTTTAATAAAGAAATGTTTTAATTAAATTTATGATTGAAATTAATTTAGATAGATCTTAATTATGGTCAATAATTTAAAATTAGTTTTTGTGAATTTTAGAACAAACAGATGCTAAGTTAAGCTGGCTTGAACAATTAAAATTCAGGAGCGTTTTTCTCTTAAAAAAAAAAAAGCAAAAACTTTGATGAACTATGCAGAATTAATGGCTTCAAGTTGCCTACGAAGATCTTCAAGGTCGTCGTTGTCAACTACTGGAGCGTCGAGAGTTGCCTTATGAAACTCGTCTGCAGTAGGAAGTTCATGCGTGAGACCTTCCGGCAAAACATCTGAAACAGATTTTGGAAAAAGGTTAATACAAATATTAATTGAAAATGATATATGGAAATAAAACAGATCTTGAGCCCTTCAGATAGAAATGTATAAATGTATATGCTTTCCTAATTAATCTTATTAATAGCAATTTACGCTTACTTTAGAAGAGGAACCAAATGTTATAAAGGGATAGTTTTGTTTGTTTAGTGTTCAGTAAAGGAATAAAGGTGCAACGGAGTAAACAGCATTTTTTGTGAAAACATTTCCCATGGTCCAGTAAACTAGGAAACCAACAAATGCATCTTTAGCCCAATTTACATAAGTTTTTCAATAAAAACTCAATAAATAAAATGAGTTAAAATCAACATATTTACGTCAACATTTTTTAAAAGCTTCTTAACTTCTGAAAAAAAATTGAGATGCGTAAATTAATTTTAATTTAAGAAAGAAAATTACCCATTATTCGTTTTAATTTATTTTATTTTCTTCTCCTACAAACACTAGTTAAAAAATTTATACAAACTTAAGTCCACAAAAGATGGGGGCCATGCAAATTTTAGTGCCACCATTTATTACTTCCTGAATTGTCTAGTAATGATAACAACAAAACCCCATTGAAAAACACGCAGCACTTTAGTCCACTTATAGAAAAGGATAAATTTTCTGAGATTATGATTTTTAAATTTAAACTTCTAGAATACAAGATAATACCTGAACTTCTGGTATCCGGAATGTCCAGTTCAATATCATCAACAACACTGGAAATTAATACAAAAGAACATCGTTAAATGTGAAGCCTAAAGTTTCAAAAAAGGAATGAGGTTCAATACTATATGTTCATTTGCATAAATGATTGTCACCAGTAAATCAAGGATTAAATCTATTCCAACTGATAAAGTGTTTTGCATCTTCTCTTACACACGCAAATGAAAAAGAACAAGAGCATTAAACACCTTATATTCCATTCATTATCTTGGTGAAGTGGCCCTTCCTCAGTTGGTGCTTCAGCTTCCATTTTTGCTTTGGCTGCAGCATCTCTTGCTGGTTTTGCAAGCATGTACTCTTCCTGCACAACATGTATAGTTCCATAGTTGGAAAGAGCAATACGAGTTTATTGATGATATCAAAATTGTACAACAAGGGCATGGTGCGAAATAAGTTACCTGTCTCTTCAAGCAAGCTACATTTGAACATTGAGGGTTTGGCTTCATTTGCATTGTTGGGAAAAAATCCTTAAGAGAATTATATCCCTACATACGAACAAACCGAAGTGTGAAGATATCAGCACACAATGTATTTTTCAAGAACAGCACAGACTGTCTTAGTGTCTTTCATTAAAGCAATCTCACCAGATTCCTCTAAGGAATAAAATCAGTTTTTTATTATTTATTTTTTTAAAATACAAGGAACCATTTGCCACACTTCAAAAAACAACAGAGGAAGCACCAATCCAGTACTTACCAAATACGGAGAGACTTGTCCAAAGCCTAACAATAATTTTAGTGTGTTTTGAACTAGAAGGCCAGCAACAACCCCCTGGGAAATCAAATAAGATTTTGTAATGTTAGATAACAACAAATTAAGTGTGTTGCACATTCCAAACAATGAACAGAAAATAAATGACCTTAAAGGGGAAAATGTAATCTCACAAAGTATTTGAAAATTTTAAACTATAAAGAAGAAAAGCAACCAATGTAAGATATAGAGACCATAATTTACCATAGTGGTGGGTAAAGACGCAGCACAAACCCCTTCACGCTTGAGTGTACGTTCATCTACCCCAGATGCAACAACCTAAGAGGAAAAAATAAATGTATGCTTCATATGTTGTACATACTGCATAAAAATTTCACATTTACCGTAAGATGGGTGTAATAACACATCAATATCTACATAGTCATTTGTCTAAAGGTTTTTATATCTTTAGGATTAAATTGCTCAGCCTTGGTGATTTATATCATATGGCTGAGCTTCAGAAACCTTATATACCACCAGGTTCAATTGTGTTTAATAACTTGAGGCCATTTATCATTCATTGTGAATCGTACACGAATTCATATAAGAAACAGCCATACCAGAGGAGGTGCACATGCAAAACAGGCAGTTTCACCAGGAATAAGTAATTGAATATGGCCAGAAACAGCATCCTCAGAAACACCTGTTCAAATTTTCATATTTCATGAGTTTCCACACACATCAAAAACAATCCAAACTACATACATCCAGATATGCAAAATCACCATAACAAATTTGCACATAGAATGTACCATGTGCTGGCATGTGATATAACATATGCCAGTGTACATGGTCACATATACATATGAAGGTATCTAATTATGTATACTTTTATAGCACCATGAAACATTTCCAAAGGGCAATTACATTCTGCCATATTTATCAGAAGCATGCTTATTTCTATATCTTTGAGTATCATTCATTCTGTTCATATTACTACTCCATAATATTGATAAAGATGATGATGTCAATCCTGATAATTTTAGTTTCCTTTGAAAAAAGAGATCTGGAAATCCTTTTGCTTACCTGACTCCATCCATGTTTGGCTCAACTCATTACAAGCCTGCAGTGCTTACAGAATCCAGTTAGACATGATAATTCCCAGGGAAAACCAAAATGAAGAAAAGTAACTAATTTTAATTGAAATTATAATATATATACCTGGTTAACAGCCATTCTTGCTTCATAATTATCCACACAACTTAAAACCAGATCCACACCACTCCCTTGTTTATCTGGACGAAAGGACTTATTTTTCAAACTTGACATAAAGGTTTCAAAACCTGTGACGGTGGTGATATTCAGTGTATAGCTCTAATTCAAAAGGAAAAGAAAATATATCAGCAGGGAAAGAGGGG